GGCAATTGCGCACGTACAGCGGATGAGCGCACGGGAGCCGTGCGGGCAATTGCGCACGGGAGCCGTGCGGGCAATTGCGCACGTACAGCGGATGAACGCACGGGAGCACCAGCACGTACCTTTCTCATATGACAGCCACGGGGTGGGCCCCACTCGTTTCAGATAGATCTTGTATGCTACGGCCGCTCCCTTTCTCATATGTCGGCCACGGGGTGGGCGCCACTCGTTTCTGAGGCCGGTAAACGCTGATGAAAAATATCTGCAGCCAGGCGGCGGCGATTTTTTTAGATGAGGTCATTTTCCATGTTTTCCCAAATGGGACTATAACTGAGAAAGGTAGTGGTGGTGGTTTAAACTTTAAATTCCTTTACCTAACCGTCCCTTCTTGGTACTTTGTTTGGTTTCATGCTGACCTTGTGAAATCTTGTTCAATCTTCCCATTCGTCTGGGTCGAATAGGAGGGCGCACACTGGTGTGTGCAAAGTCTCCGGCGCCCTCGTTGGCAAGTTGTTGCTAACCCCGCTTATGCGAGGGACCTCCTCTCTTGGAAGGTGACAGTCCAGCTCCTCATTCTGAACCAGCTTGGTCCAGCCCGGAAGGTCCGGATTGTAGGCCTGCAGTGATACTCTCTGTCTGTGCCGTCACCTTGAGCACCTTGTATACTGTCATGGGGACTGACTGGGGCGAGCAGCCCATCGTATAAATCCGGGCTTTTTTCAAGAGCCGATTCCCGACCGAGGGGGGGATGGCTCGGTCGGGATGGCTTGAGGTATCATCCGTCGAACTGAGTGGGATGCCTTTATTCAGCATTATTTTATTTCATCCTTCATTAGGTCTATTTCAGTTGCATTACATACCTGAGTTCGAGTCAAGATGGAACCAAATGAATGAAAAATTCAAGGGGGGCCGAAAGGGGGGCCGAAAGGGGGGGTTTGCAGGGGGCAAAGTGCTATTCCTGGACTTGCCAAGGTGCCATATTATCCAGCAAGTTAGCAATAACATTTTTTGAACTTTGATGAAACAATCTTGTAATGTTTTTTCCCCCACAAGTATCCTTGAGCTGAGCACACTTTGGCTGCTCTCTATACCAGTGTGTTCCTTAATGCAGTACCCTCTCTGTTGAAGGGCTGCACTACCAAGGGTACCCCAGCGCCATGATTGGTGCCTCCCCCACCATAATAGATAGGATAGTGCATTAAACTGCTGGCCTCTCCCACCGTAATAGTGCAGAAGGCACTGCCAGAAAGTACTGTCAGAGAATATCCTTCTTTTTTTTTTTCTTTTTTTTTTT